ATGCATTTAGTTTTAAGAGTTATTAAGTTTCAACACACTATATGTGGATCATCACTGGATATTCTCTATAGCCAGTATAGAGAATATATAGAATATAGCCAGTATAGAGAATTTAGTAAGTGTTATAATCAGTACTTTGTAAACCTAGATGCCCTGGGAGTGGAATCATTTTATCCCTTACAAGGAGTCTAGTGTCACCTGTCTTAAGAGTAAAAAACATTAACTGACCGTGTCAGAGCTAAATAAGACTACTGTTATCGATTTCCTTTGGTTCACAAAGGTCAAATAACAAAAAATAAAATAAAATAAAAACACTGTCCTTATAGCTTAAGGACCTGCAAAACACAGCCCCAGAATTATAAACACTAGAAAAGCTTACTGTGCCTTCAAGCTTATTATCAGTTAGGGTAAAATAATGCAAAAGCCAGGGCCTTCATTAACAGATTGCTCCTAGAAAGTTTTCAAGACAAAAGATAGTGAACTTCCAACTTGTTTTATCTAACATCAAGAAAAACAAGTTATTTAAGACAATGGAGTATGTTTAAGTAGATGCTAACAGGTGTGTGTGTGTGTGTGTTGGGGATTCAAGCACTCTACTACTGAGCTACAATGTTTAAGTAGATGCTAACAGGTGTGTGTGTGTGTGTGTGTGTGTGTGTGTGTGTGTGTGTGTGTGTGTGTGTGTGTGTGTGTGTGTGTGTGTGTGTGTGTGTGTGTGTGTGTGTGTGTGTGTGTGTGTGTGTGTGTGTGTGTGTGTGTGTGTGTGTGTGTGTGTGTTGGGGATTCAAGCACTCTACCACTGAGCTACAACACCAGCCCAATGAAAAGTTTCACATCACATAATCACTTGGAAAAATCTTTACTCCACACATACAACAGATTCTAAGTCCAGTAAAAGCTAAAGAATAGCTACACCTAGGAATTTAAGTCACACATAACGATTACTTAATATTAATATTATTTTGAGAAAACTTTCAAATTGACAGTTCACATTTTCAGAGAACTATAAATTTATAATCTGTTAAAATAATGGTTTATGGAGAAAGTAAAAACTGCCAAAGTTTCTACAATGTGTAAAGAATGACTTGGATCCTGCAATGTGTGGCTCACATTGACTTTTATAGGCTATACATCTAATAGATACGTAAAGAAACATAAAGATGCTTTCAGATGTATGAGTGCACATGTAGGCATACACATAAGACAATCTAGACAAGCTATGCTTTCCACTAATAATTTTTTATATAAAGTTCTCCTGAACTGAAAAGAGAAAGAGAACAGTTAACAGAAGAATCTGGCCAAAGAACGCAAAGTAGGAATCTGAAAGCTAAAAAAAAGTAAAAAAATAAAATAAAACACAACACATTTTCACTGAACACTTTTATCTATAAATGTCCATTTTTTAAGTTGGGTAATATACCAACTTTCATTTATGAAAAATAATATTCTAGGATAAATTTCTAATTCCTAAGAGGAATAAGTTTAAAGAACTGCATACAAAAAGTAATAGAATCAAGGGCTGCAATAAAATGAACAGAAAAAGCAAACAGGCTTTTACTGGAAACCTAGTAGCCATCTCATATATTAAAAGTCTGGATGGACTGAAGTAACAAATTAAGATGAAAATTCCCAATGGATTCAATATGTACTGAAAAAGATGCAATGGAATTCCAATCAACAGTTGATACAAAAACTGTCAGATGAAACAATGAGAGATTTGTTGCAATAGATCTTACAACTTACAAATACTAAACTATTGTATTACTAGTACTGAAACTAAAGATTTGGGCTAAAAGACTAAAATCTGCCAGTGGAAAGGAGGCCTCACTGAAGGCATTCCGCCTAATGCGAAGGTTCCTTTCCTTGATGAACATTTGTGACCAAAGAGCATTCAGTGTACATGGTACCCCAAGCTAGTAACAGCCTAGTTACAAAAACAGCCAGATTTCCAATTTCCCCTTAATACAGGCAACATTTCTAAAAGCAATCATATTCAAAATAAATGTATCTTCACAGTTACAGGAGGAAATTTTAAGATGGACAGGCACCATTGCCTGATTTTCTAATTTTTTCACAAACCATAAGACTTCTACATGCTGAGAATGCTTTATGTTTTAACCTGCAGTAAACGCTTTATATCACTTTAATGCCCTAGTGCTTAAAATGCAACAGAACAGCCCAATGAAGGCAAAGAATATATTTGGCTTACATGTAATGAATGATTTTGATCCAACTATATTTTAGTCAGAAAAACTTTAATGAATGTTTTTCCCAGTAAGTAACTTAGCAGTTCCAGAGGTGAAAAGAAAAAGACATTTTGAGGGATGATGGGGAGACGAAACCATTTTAGTTTTATATTTTGCAGGTAATCATTAAACATTTTAAAGTTCCAAGATTATCAGAATGTTTCACAAAAAAGTAACTCTCTATTATGTAGTTACATAAAGCTTTTATCCAGTTTTTGCAAAGTAGAATTTCAGATCATAATAAAGCTTAAAACAGGTAATTCCAGAAATCACGTCTCTAGCAAACCAACGACGGCTCTAGAGCATCATATTCTGTATTTTAAATTCAAGACTTAGAAAACACATGAGTACTTATTCTCTTCAGGTCTGTCTGTCTGTCTGTCTGACTGACTCTCTACCTACCTATTTTTCCTATCTCAGGCTTATATGAGAAGGAAAACCTGCCATTATTAGAACTAGCTCAATCCTGCCATTATCAGAACTAGGTCAACCTGGTAAGGAAAAGCCTGTTATTGCCAGAACCAGCTTGACCAGAACGAGCTTGACTTTTATGCTTCAACTAACTTTCTAGAAACAGTAACCCTTAGGGTAAACCAAAACTCAAAACCCAGAACTAAAACCTGAAACCCAAAGAACTATAGTCCTGATGGTCAGGGCTCAGACTTTGGGAGTAGGAAACTCCCCTGGGCAGCCTGTATAATAAACCTGAGTTCTCCAACTTCTTCCCAGAGTATTTCCCACAACAATACCTTATCTCTCTGAATGACCAACTGCAGAACTTCAAAGGTCATAAAATTACATAGCATATCTATGTGACTTTCAGTTTTTATGGAATCTAAAGGTCTCTCACTTCTAAGTGGCATATTCAAGAGTTGATAAGGTCTGTACAAAATAGATAATCACTTTAAATTACCCACAGTCAAAACAAAAATTATGTCAATTCCTTTATTCAATAGGCTTTACACACATACACACACACACACACACACACACACACACACACAACCTCCCACCTAAGGGTTATCAAAGTAAAAAAGGTAAGATCCTAAATTCCCCTGGTGTTAAAGATCATTTTTGTCATTAACTGTAATAGAAAATTTTTAAAAAGATCCAATTTCCCAGACTTGATTTTGCAGTCACAATTCAACGAGGTCTAGCAACTGAGTTGTGCAATTATGGCAAGTTTAACAGAAATCACTACAAACCGGAGGAGATAATTACCTGTGGCATAAGTTGCAAAAACAAATGCAGGTCCTTTTTCTATAATGTTTCATTTTATGGTAAGATCACAAAAAGCATAACCAAAATATTAGTATAAAGTCGACTGAAAAGGCGCAGGAGATATTCTATCAGAACGGAAGAGAAGGAAGGGAAAGGGAAAGGAAGGAAGGAAGGAAGGGGGGGGGGAGGGAGGAAGGAAGGAAGGAAGGAAGGAAGGAAGGGAGGAAGGGAGGAAGGGAGGAAGGGAGGAAGGGAGGAAGGAAGGAAGTCTGTCTAAACCTACAAGATCTCAGAGGAATGAACCAGTCCTATCACTCTACCCCGTATGATACATGGGTGCTTCTTTATAAAGCTCCAGACTAAATAAAAACAGCAATCACTTTGCATCCGTAACTTTACACAGAGTAGTATCTTGACTTCCAACTGCGCTTTCCCCCTCACTCACCCCGGCTTCCTCGCCGCTCCGTAGCGGCTTTCAGGCCAATGTGAGCAGAACTGGGTGGGGTAGAAGAAAAACACGAGCAGCGCTTTTAGGGCACCGCCAGCCTCTTCCCCGCAAATCATTCCCAACAGTTTTCTCTACTACGAAAATAAGTCTCCTTCTACCAGCCACGACAGACCTGACCCGGGAAGACGGAGCGGCCGCCGCAGTGGAGCACTCCCGACCTCCGAATTGTAAGTACTCCTCAATCCACAGAACCGGAGGATGACAAGATACCTCTACCTGTTTTGGGGGCGAAGGTGGGTGGAGGACTCTTTTCCAAGTAGCCCCAACAGTGTCACCAAAACACAGTTCCGGAATAAAATATTAAGAAACATTCATTCTCCCCCCCCCCCCCGCCCTTTCCCACCCAGAGACTCGGGGAGCAAAGCTCCTTCTCCAGCCCACACCGCCCTCGGTCCTCGGGTCTGGAGTTTGGGGTGGAGATCGGGCCGGGGGAGGGGGCGGAGAGCGCGGACCACGGGACGCGAGCGAGTTGCGGAGCCCCGCTCCCCCGCACCACGTCCCCGAGCCCAGACGTCCGGGACCGGGACCCCCGGGCACGCTGCTCAGCCCGGGCCCACCAACGCCGATGCGCACTCCCGAACTTGCCGTCTCCGGGCATTCCTGCCAGACGGGCACAGCAGGCGAGTGCGCGTCACGCGGCGGAACGCGCCGGTCCACCCCGCAAACAACCCACGCACCTCGGAACCCGCCCCGCAGTTTCCCCAACTCCGGACAGGAGACCCCACCTCCACGATTCAAACCTTCCGCCCACCGTGCGAGAAGCCCGCAGACAGGAGTTGGGGAGCCGTCGACGCCTCTCCGAGACGGCCCCTCACCGACTGCCCCACCCCAAGCCGCGTCGCCGGAGCCCCGCTCGGGGCCCCCGCTGCCTCCCTCCCCTCCCGCCGGGCGCCCCGAGACCCCCTCCCGGGCGCCCACTCACTTTCTCCCCCAGCCCCTCCGAGGCATATGTTCTTCCTCAAAGTGAAGGGAAAGAAGTGGGGACCGGACGTGAGGCAGACCTGCTTCCAACCCGCCCGACTCACCTCGGAACCGCGCTGAGTTCTCTCGCCCCGCACAGCCCCCTCCCCAGCGTCCCAGCGCGAAGGGCTGAGGCGGAAGGAGGGAAGCGGGAGGGGGAGGGGTGCCTTCCGTGCGGGGCGCCCGTCGGGAGGGGTTGGGGAGGGCTGGAGGCCCGCACAGGAAGAGGAAAAGGGGGAGGGGAGGCCCCACTCTCCCAGTCTCCCCCCTGAAAACCTCCCTTGTCTCAATCACATCAGACTGACTGTCTTTGTCTGGCTGACAACCGCCATATTGATATCAACAGCCCCGCTCCCACCTGCTGCAGTCGGGCGTCCCTGGGAGTTGTAGTTTCTGCCTCCCTGGAGTAAAAGCGCAGAGCCCAGTGGCTAAAGGCCCCGGAGAACTACAATTCCCGGCAGGTGCCGCGCCCACACGCCTTCCCCCAGAGAGGAGGGGAAAGGGGAATCCGTTGCTGTAGGGACTACAAATCCCAGAATACCATGGGTGACCGGCCCGTAAGGGGAACGTGATATCAGTTGGGGTGGAGAGAGGATGAATTGGCGGCGGGGATGAATTTAAGTTGACGGAAGGAGGTGTTCTGAGAGGAAAAGGGAGGAAAGGAAAGGCGACCACAGTTCCCAGGGTGCCCGGGAAGGACTACATTTCCCAAGATGCCCCAAAAGGGGGCGTGAGGAGGGGAAAAAAAGACTGCAAATCCCGCGATGCACTCCGCGGCCGGCGACGGAGAACGAACCGGAAGGCGCTCCCTGGGTTTGGGGAGTTGGACGGCTGACACAACAACCGAAAGTCCAGTATGAAACTGGTGAGTTCCCGCTCCGGGGTCGGAGGGCAGAGGGGAAGCCGCGTCCTGTGGACTTCGTCTCCTGCACCTTGGGCGGAGAGGGTTGCAGCTGGGGAAGGGAGAGCGAGGCGGGCTGAGGAAAGTGCTGGGGGGGGGCGGTGGCGGGACGCCTCGCCCCCCTCCCCACGCCGCCGCCCGGCCGGGGTCGTGATGGCGCGTTGGCGGCTCCGGGGGCGGAGGCGCGAGGTTGCCCTGCAGCTCTCTCCCCCGACGGGCTCGGGCTTCGGCGGGGTGCCTGGGTTTGGGCTCTCGGCGTCCACGTGAGCCGTCCCGAGGCTCCGGACCGCCTGTGGGCATCCAGGTTGCCAACGGAGGCGCAGTGGATCTGAGCCGCGGGTGGGAAATGCAGGAACCGAACGTCGTCGTCGTTCATCCTATTTCCTGTTAACGGAGAAAGCCCCGGCCCGGCCCGGCCCGATCTGGGAGACCGGGGGTCTGGGGGGGGTGTCCGAACCCCCCGCCAAGGGCTTGGGCCGGGCTGAGCGCGGGGCCGAGGCTTTTGTGACTGGGGATGTGCGGCCCGCGGGAGACTGGACGCGGTGGAACCGCCTCTGACGTGGCTTGCTGGAAAACTTTTGTGCGCCTAGTTCCAACACGTTGTTTTGTCTCCTGACTTAGTAAAGGCATAATAAGGAGGGTAGAAAACGGGTGTGAAATACCGCGTCTCGACCTTCTTAAAATCCACGCTCTTGCAGCCAAGTTATTGCCAAGTGTACTGTCTGTAATCGGTACACAAAGAAACGACCTCAGAGAAGAACACAGGTTCAGTTCAGTTTTTCTGTAAGTTTATTTGTGAGGGTAATGGAGAGCCAGCCAGGGTTTGCTTACATTTACTTGCGAAATCTGCCTAATTGTTTTAGAGGGCTGGAAACATGGAATAAAAATAATAAAAATTAATTTTGTCCCTTCAGAATCTAAAGATACTTCAGAGGAACGGGAAGGGTTCTATTGATACACTTTCAAACCATATATTGTACACTAAAACTCACTGGGTAGTTGAAAGGTGATCTGTAATATAGAATTCCTACCAACATACCAGAGCTTGCATTGTTTGACTTCTGTACCTACTGAAGGTTTAAATAAGTCTCCTCCTGGCCTAGTAGCCTACAAATTTTAACTTTATATGCTGTTTCAGGAATATGAGATTGTGTTTATATAATCAAAGGGGCTGAAAATGTATTCCAGGGCTGATGATCTTGACTAGCATGCACAAGGCCTGAGTTTGATCATATATATGTAGGTATATATAAGTGTGTGTGTGTGTGGAGATAGCCACTTAGAAGGTGGAGATGGGGAATGTCATAGTTTGAAGTCAGTCCTGGTATAAAAATTTGCAAGACTGCATCTCAGCCAATGGCTGGGTACATTGGTACATGCCTATTATCCCACCAGTCGGAGAAGTGCAGGGGCTGGATGCAATGTCACCTGTCCTCTCCAGCAACACAGGAAACGTAATTAGGAGAATCTCAACCCAGGCTGCCTTGGGTATAGTGAGAGACTCTTTTCTCAAATATAACCAAAACAAGAAGAGGTTGGAGACGTGGCTTAAGTGGTAGAATGCCAGCCTAGCACACATGAGGCCCTGAGTTCAATCCCCAGTGATACCCCCATAAAACAAAAAGAAATACACGTTACTGAGCACAATCTTGTTTATGAGATTATGACTTTCCAAAGTACCTTTCCCACACACAACCTAGGACCACTTGTTGGTTTTACTTCCTTAATGAAAGTTTCTCAAGTGGGTCTGTTTTTCTCCATTTTCCCGAGCGCTGCCTTTACACTAGTTCTTTTCACTGGACACTTGGTATTCAATAAGACCTTCTAAATAGTTTCCCTGCCTTCTCAAATCCGTCTTCTGCTGGGTTTCTCAGCAGTTCTTTTAAATAGTAGAGTTCCATAAAACCTACCTTTCCACTAGGTAAAGTCTTGCAATTATTCTCTGGGCTTGAAGAATACTTCTCTACTTCCCCCTAGTCTTTGTTCCAGTTGTAGCACACATCTTCCAGTTCTTGAACTCAACCTGTTGTTCTCTTCTGTCTCTGGGATTTTCCAGGGTGTTCTATTGCTTGCTGTCTCTCTCTCTCTCTCTCTCTTTCTTCTTTTTTGAGGGGAGGGGTTGGCTAATGTCTTAATGTCTTATATACTTAAGGTCTTTGTTTAAACAGCTTTTCAAAGTTACCTAGAGGTAGATGCTTCCATAGCCCACTTCCTGCTCATAAGACCTGTGATGATTGGCTTTGCATCTGCCCTCTCTAATATAGGATATGTATTCCTAGAGCCTGACAGATAGTGAGACCTTACCAAATAGTAGTGAATGCATAATTTCTGAAAGCCTGTCAAGGTTTGTGAATACTGTTGAGGATAGATTTCTGGATAGAGTTAACAAGATAAGAAGTGAGAACCTGTGGAGTAAAGATGTAATAGTTGCTACTTTTTTTTTTTTTTGATTTTTGCTTTTTGGCCAGTCTTAGGGTTTGAACTCGGAACCTTGGCTCTGTTCCTGAGCTCTTTTGCTCAAGGCTAGCACTTTACCACTTGAGTCACAGCACCAATTCCAGTTTTCTGGTGGTTAATTGGAGATAAGAGTTTTACCAGCGTTCCTGACCAGGCTGGCTTTGAATCATAATCCTCAGATCTCAGCCTTCCGAGTAGCTAGGATTGCAGGCATGAATCATCAATGCCTGGCCAGGCTATTTTTATTATCCAACTATAGCTTCCATGAATACCTTTACAGTTCTCTTTTAAGTTTTTGTGCATTACTTTCTTGGTGGCTTTTCACACACACACACACACACACACACACACACATACACACATCAATGTCCTTATATTTGGATAGCTCCTTCTTAGGTACCAACTCAAAGGATTTTAATAGCTTCCTATTATTTATAATACTGTGCAATATTCTGGCAGGTTTATTTAGCTGAAGAAATGTATTGATATTTTCAGTTATGCAGAATTCTTATTTTGTTTCTTGGGACAGGGTCTCACTCTGTAGCCCATGATGGCTTCAAATTCATGCCCTTCCTGCTTCTGTAGAGTGTGCTGGGATGGTTACAGGCATGTGCCACCACGCCCACCTCATAATCATTTTAAGAAGAAAACTGGAAGTGTATCTTCTAAAAATCACCATGTTTTAAAACATGTTCACTTATTAGTATAGATTGAGCCTAATTGGGTATACCCTAGTGGCCAATTCAGCTAATGATGAAAACTAGAATTCACTTGAGTCCTTATCAAAAGCTGATGGAATAAAAAATACTAAGTATTCTGACAGGAAGTGAGTTTGAAACATCCTGGCAAGGAAGCTAGTCATTCAAATAGATAAAGATTAAAGTGAATAAGCGATATGAAATTCAAGAGCTCCACATGTATACTGTGCAGATGGTTAGAGATGGAGAACATCTTCTAGCCTGTTCAGTCAACCAAGATTTGTTATGCAACCACTGTATCCTCTAGAATTCAAAGTTTCAACACGTCCCATTTTAACTATTACATTTGACCCCAAAGATCTATGACAGGGAATTATTTATAATTTTGCTGAGGCACAAATTTGAATGTGACTTTCAAATTAATGATAATCCTTTGTAAATGAGCCTGATTGCCTTTGCAGAGTTGTTGCTCTCTGGTCTGGAAGAAAAGTCATTTAAGTCTGCATTATACTTACTGAATTTGATGAAGGAAATTTTATGCTGTATGTATTTACAAATGTTAAAACTGAAAAATTCGCTGAAATAAATTTTTCAATGGTGTGTATTCCTTTGTCCAAAATGCTGTTTCATTTCTACTGGCTCACGCTTATAACTTATCATTACCCCCCGGGAAAACAGATGGAACAAAGAAATGAATTCATGGCCTGCTCCCAGTGGAGGACAAGTAGAACACCAAGTGCAGCTGTAGATTATACAGAAGATCTTGTTTGAAAAGGATAAATCCTGTCCCAAGGTCATTTAACAGATCATCAGAAAAGGATGCAGTTAAATTCTCACACCTCTCACGGATTCTTTTTCTGCAATTTACAGAGTTGTAGAATTCTTTTGGCTTCCTAGAACTTGGATCAAAAACAGAAAATTGCTTGCTATAAATTACAAGCATTCAAAATTTTACCGGTGCTGGATGCACCTATTACAGTATGATTGTTAAAATGCCAACCTGATTTTACTCTTTTCTGTTTCTCCTTGGTGGTTGATTAGGGTGCCCTCATGTGTCTTTTCGATGTAATGTCATTTCAAGCCTTGGAAAGGTCATATTTTATTGCAACTTCAGTATCGTAGCTTCTTCCTTTCCTAATTTCCTCAAACTCTGAAAAGCTAAGCCATGTTATATACCTTGTTCAGTAGTACTCTTTGATTAAAAAATAGGTATGTACATTTCAGAGTTTTAAACTGGTACTCTGAGGGTTTATACTTACCAGAGCAAAAAATATACTGACAG